TTCTGAATAACCAATGGGTCACAGAGGAAATTAAAGAAGAAATTAAACAGTTCCTACAATTAAATGACAATGTCAATACAACATATCGGAATCTATGGGACACAATGAAAGCAGTCTTACGAGGGAAATTCATATCAGTGGATATTCATATTAGGAATACAGACCAAGGTCAAATAAACAACCTGATGCTGAACCTCAAGCTTCTAGAAAAAGAAGAGCAGGACAAACCCAAAGCTCATACAAGGACAGAAATTATAAAGATCAGAGCAGAAATCAATGCAATGAAGACTAAGAAAATGATACAAAAAATCAACAAAGCAAAGAGTTGGTTCTTCAAAAGAATACACAAAATTGACAAACCCTTACCCAACCTTATCAAAAAAAGGAAGAAAAGACCCAATCCATGCAATTAGGAATGAAAAGGGTGAAATTACAACAGATCCAGCAGAAATCCAGACAATCATCAAAACCTACTTTGAGAAACTATACACCAATAAGATGGGAAACATAGAAGAAATGGACAGATTTCTAGATATATATGAATTACCAAAGTTGAACAAAGAAGACCTAAAAATTCTAAAGGACCTAATATCAATCAGTGAAATTGATAACGTAATTAAAAACTTACCAACAAAGAAAAGCCTGGGTCCCAATGGCTTCACTGCTGAATTCTACAAGAATTTAGAGAAGATCTATTGCCACTACTGTTTAAACTGTTCAATGAAATTGAAAGGGAAGCAGTACTCCCGAATTCATTCCTGGAAGCAAGCATCACCTTGATCCCAAAAGCAAAGAAAGACCCAACTGAAAAAGAGAACCATAGGCCAATCTCACTGATAAAAATGGATGCAAATATCCTTAATAAGATACTGGCAAAGAGAATACAGAAGATCATCAAGAAGATCATACACCTAGACCAAGTGGGGTTCATCCCAGGGATGCAGGATGGTTTGACATATGCAAATCAATTAATGTAATACATTATATCAATAGGGCCAAGGACAAAAACCATATGATCATCTCAATAGACACAGAAAAAGCATCTGACAAAATTCAACATGCATTTATGACAAAAATCCTACAAAAAATTGGAATAGATGATCTCTATCTCAACCTGATAAAAGCCATCTATGAAAAACCAACAGCCAATATCATACTAAATGGTCAAAAACTGAAATCCT